AGTTCAGCAACTGATCTATTCTCTTCTCCTCCTGAATCACAGGGCCTTGTTCAGCTTTCTTCTCCCACACAGATCACCTGAGGCCAGCGCTCACTCTGTGCTGAAGCCTTACCCCGCTGTCTCTGATTACACCACAGTACTCTGCTGAAGCCACAACCTTTGGGAGAGTGTGACAACAGCCTGAAAATAGCTGCAGCATCTGCTTTGGAAGTCAGGCAAAAAAGACTCCACCCTCAAATGGGGAAAATAAAAGGCTGCCAAATGCTAGCATCAGGCTCTATAACAAACAGGTGCAATTGTCTGTGCAAAAAAACCCCAGACACTTACAATTTAATTACAAAGAACAATTAGATGCCTTTCATTGAGAGACAGCTCAGATTTTGGAGCAACTTCTGAGCCCTTCTGACAAACCAGTCCCACCTGCTCCCTCCCCACCTGGCATGGGACTTGACAGCATGACACATCATGGGATCTTCCACCTCTCCACCTCCTGACTCCATCCCAGCCACCAAGGGTGTTCATGCTTGCTTTTGACTCCAACACAGGGAAGGTGAGCATGGTTCACTTCAAATCACATGAATAAGGTGGCCTAGAAGTAGCCCTGCTCTGGCCGTGACAGCGAGCCTCACAGGGGAACTACACTACGATATCTCCATCTGTACCCCTGAAGGGGACTGGCATATAATCCCTGCTTCTGCTCACCTTCGATGTGGGAGTCAGGCAGTGTAGAGGCTCGTGATCTCCTCCCTGTTCTGGTACCTTAGGAAGGGGGCAGCCAGGCAGGCGGGAGACGTGTACTTCCTCTCCACAGGAGACCTCTTGCCAGTCCTCCAGCACCCCTTAAAGGTCCCCAATAGCTTTGCAGCATCCTCTTGGAGAAGGGCTGCTAGGCTCATACACAGTATCTTTGTCCATGGCTTTCTGTCTGTTGTCACATTTTTAATCTGTGAAAACCCAGGTCATCTTGTCTTGCTTGTGACAGCATTTTGCCCATTTTCTGCAATGGGCACAGCCCCTGACTTTCTTATGTCTGCGTTCACACAGGCAACTTCACAGGCAGGAATAAAGGAAAACCACTGGTCAAACACAATCCCCGCCACCCCAAACACCAGAAGGATCACACATCAGACATCATGGTATCTTGTGCAGACCACAGCCTGGAAGAAGCCAGGATGCCCAGATCCAGCCTAGCGCAGAGCAAGAGGAGACAGCAGCAGAGCAGTTAGCAGGGGCACACGAAGGCAAGCTTGGAAAATCCAGTCACACTTGTCCAAACAAAGTACAGGTGTCTACTATCAGACAGATGGCAAAACACCCCCACCACCCCAATCCCAAGTCACTTAATAGCTTATAGGACATGAACAACCTAAAAGCCCTTCAGTCTAGGGGCTAAAAGAACATCACATACAAAAATCACAGCATTTCACAATGCCTGTGACAACCCAATTGAGGTCTTGGAGTGGTAAACCATTCTCATTGGTCACTCCAAGCAGGGATATGCCTTTCCTAGCCTGGCAGGGCTAAGAATTTTGTTTATATATAGTGCAAACGTAAAAGAAAAAAAAAATTCAACACAACACTTATCAGCCGAGTGGATGACTGCAGCCTAAAAGCACACAGATTCCAGTTCAGATGCCAATTCCGTTACTATTCCACCCAGCTACAAAACTGTTTCAAACATGAAAACTTCCTTAAAAGGACCCTATTAAGGCATTTTTATATCACTTTTATTCACTGTTTGTTTGCAATAAACCCTCAGAAGACTGAATCCAGAATCTCAATTCTTATTAACCATTTCTATGCACAGTAGCTTGTTCTTAGAGAATTTCTGTGTGTATTATCAATGGAAGTTATAGTGTGCATGTGCAGGACCAAGAGGAAAGGAGAAGAAAAGCAAGGATTAATCCTCAACTCATGAACAACCAAGTCCCCTCTTCGAAGGGGATTCCAATGAAAATTTTGTATGACCGAAGAATGCACCATCGGTTTCATGAATGACGACACAGATTGCGCAACCAGACACACAGCCAGACTGCACTTCCATTTTTGAGCACAAATTTGGCAGTGTCTCCACAGAAATATTTCCCTTATTAAGGTCAACAGGCTGCAGAGCAGTTCTTCAGTGCAGTCCTAAAGAGACCACAGACCTATTTAAGAATTAGCAGTGCTGTAATTGCCAGGGATTTCTGCTGGAAGAGTTTGGAAAGAAACAGACTTCTGCCTCACTACAGTTTTTCATAACATTAGACCCATCTCTTTCCTACACCCTGTTAAAAATGACACCAACCATGATTGACTTGCACGAAAGCAAGCATGGCCGCACAGCTTTAAACATGCACACCTCCTGATCAACAAAATCAGGAGGAAAAAGTCTTCAGCTTCACAACTGCCATTTAGGGGCTCCTAAACAGTCTTTTATTCATAGAGCAGATACACAGCAAAGAATATTTTAGATTAAATGCAGACATACAGCCCTCCCCAAGCCAAATGATGGTTCACATTTTTCATACAATCCAGGTCATAGCTGGGCTAGATTTAAGCATCATCCAAGGAGACAAATAGGTTTCTTGATTAATTGCAGCCTTTAATCACTCTTCAGCACTTCCACAGATCAGCCCTGCCTTTGAAACACATCTGTCTTCTCAACATGCTATTCCCCCCCCAGACTTGCATAGTATTCATGTTAAGACAGTCACCCCCTGCCCCAGGGCAGGGCCACTTGGGATCCTAAGTAAGCCCTGTGCCCCTGGCAGCAAGGCCTGGCTTTTCCCCTAGTGAGCTTGGAAAACGCTGCAACCCCCTTTCCAAAGGCAGCATCACCTGGGTGGCATTCAGAGGCCTGGCACACGAACCCCTGCTCCTCCCATGCCTAACAACGCACTGCTTACCCGCACCTCACCTTCCCAGCACACCCGGCTTGGCTCCCAGGTGAAAGCAATCCTTTCCTACCCCTAAGGAAACATATACGGCACAGCCAAATCCAAAGGAAAAGGCCCTTCAATTTCAGTGTCCCCTTTATGCTTCTGACCTGCTCTGACCATCACCAGTCAGCAATGATGCCAATTGCCTGCAGACAGTCCGGCTCCTCTTCACATTTCACTTTTAAAGCATCATCTACTCGCTGGGGAAAAAGAAGGGTCAGCCACAAAACATTTAACAAAAAAAAAAAAAAAAAAAAAAAGGAGATATGGGACTGCAGACATGAATTATTCATAAGCTAAACCTTCAATAGCCACCCATCACACCTGCACATACAGTTTGCTGTCTTGGCTAATTCTGGTGGGTTTTTTTTTTTTGTTGGTTGGTTTTGGGGTTTTTTTTAGGGGTTCTGTGGTTTGCTTTAGTTTTCAGGGTTTTTCCTTTTTGGAAAGCAGATAATATTGCCCCAAGCACCGTGTCAGCAGCAAGACCCAGCATGCAGATATCACTCAGCAACTCGCACAGCATGGGTTCACCCCCACCCAGTCCAACGGCTCTTACATAAACTAGCACAGTTAGAGGGAGATACAATCAACGGAGCCAGGATGTTAGCCAAGGACCAAACAGCATCCCTGTATTCTCAAGGTCCAAAGAAAAAAAAAAAAACCCAAAAAACCCCCACCACAAATCAAAACAACCCCCCAAAATGCACCTTATTATTCACATTTGCCTATGAACCAATTCAGCACCACTGCTTGCTTTAACTCAAATCACACACCGGCTCCCCCACAATTTCAGGCTACCTGTAAGTAAAGAATGTTCCAACATACTTCCAACATGGGTGTATGTGTGTGTGCGTAAAAAATGCACATTTCTAGAGTGCTGCTTACAGTCCAGAGTCTGTTTTGATTTCATGCAGATTTACACACCAAAACACCTTTCCTGTGGCCCCCACAAACCCCAGAGCAAACCCAGCGGAGGAGGGAGGACACAGGGTAGGAGGCAGTACCTGCATACACACGAAGTAAAACAGATGCTGCTGGAAAACACCACCAATAAAAATCACGACTTTAGAGGCGACAGCTTTAAAAAGCACCACGACTTGTCACATTCTAGAGGAGAGAGATTATGCTTTTTTCATTAGATGAAGGGGGAGAGAGGAAGGAAAATAACTGCTCTCAAGAATAGCTCCAAAAGGCACAGTCTGGGAATCACTTCTAGGTGAGCCACTTAAACAAAGAAGATGGAGTATCCCTCTCTCTTCAGGGAGGAATGCTTCCTGCTAGAGACAGGGCTCAGATACAAGAAAGCGCTTTTTATACAGAGCTATGGAGACCAACACACCCATTGTCTGCCAGCAGGAGCTTTCCTGCATTCAGAGAGGCTGCAGCACAGGCCAGGTTTTGGGGGTGGAGGGTTGAAGGGAGGGACGGGGGACACCTGCAGTCTTTTAGGCATCTCTATCTGTGTTTACAAATAGCCCCAAGGAAGGGGGAGCTGCAGGGTAAAGGAAATCAGGAAAAAAACGCAGCGCCATTCAAAGGAATCAAAACAAGGAGGACAGGTCAGGGCCTTTTCAACAATGGCACCGCCAATACTCAGGGCCAAAACCCAAAAAGCAGAGAGAAAAGGCACGGACAAAGGGGGATGCAACACCCCCTCATCTCAGAATAGGGTTATTTTAAGCCTGTCTCCTTGGAGCCACCCTAATATTTTCTCTCATGACTCAAGTCACCAGGGAAGGGAGTTAGAGCGGGGGTGGGGGGGGGAAGAGACAGAGCTAAGACTAACACTGTAAGACTCCTTTCTAGAAGGGGCAAAGCCCCAGAAGAGATGAAAGGCAAGCTGGGCTGTGCCTTACCTGGAAAAGTGTGTGGGTTGGGTGACCCTCTTTTAAGGCACTTTGAACAGAGGACGTGCACAGTGTAGTACAGGCCCGGCCATTCCTGGAGCAGGACATTCAGTTCTTCCACTAAAGGGGTAATAGCTTGCCAAGCTGTCCAGATATTTGGTAGGGACGCGTGACTAGCAATAGACAGAGTATCTGGCTGCAGAGTTCCCCTAGCAGGCCGGTAACTCACCACCACGGGCACCTTTCCCCGGTAGGCATAGATCTGGTATTTGCCATCTGACCGCTGAACCACGTGGCTGTTAATCTGGACACTGTAGCGTGCGAACAAGCCGGGTGGGAAAATGAACGGAAAGCTATATTCAATCTGCAGCTGCTCGACCACGAAGGACTGTCCGCTCAGATTGGCGCCGTTGATCCATGCCTCCGCATGGGGCACCTCATTTTTTACGTAGCAGGGAAACTTGTACCAAGCAGCCGCCCCATTTAGGGGCTTGCATTTGGGTTTGTTGACACAGTAACAGAGCCCCATCTTCTCCAGCAGCTCCAGGATGAGCTGCAGATCCTCCCGGCTCTGGATGTGGGGCTTAAGAAGGAGACGGATAACGTGGGCAGGGAGGAGGCCATGCAGCAAGAAGCCCTCCACGTAATGATGGAGCTGAGTGGCCCTCAGTTCGTCAATGTGGGTGTCGCTAAGCAGTTTCTGGAGCAGCACAGTGGCATCCCGCTGGCAGAAGACGTTGAGGATGTCAATGAGCCGTGGCAGGTTGTGGAACACATACTCCCGCAAGGTGAGGTGCTCCTCGAAGTAGAGCAGCTTCCCACTCTCGTGCAGGTAGGACAGGGCGCTCTGGAGCCGATCCTCTGTTAGGCCCGCCTGCAAGCCCAACCGGGCAGAGTCCCACCAGCTAAGCCACAGCTGCTGAGCTTGTGGCTGGAAGTGCAGCTCCTCCAGCACTTGCCAGGATTTGGGCAACACCCGGTGCAGGTTCGGGAAGATATCCCGGTGCTCAGCGACCGAGAGGAGCTTGTCCCGCAGGCGACGTACCTGGCAACGGTCCCGGCAGCTGAAAGGCAGCACTGGAGAGAGGATCTGCGGGCGGTGGTTGAGAAGGTACTGAAACTGGGCTTTTTTTCGCCGCAAGTTCTTGTCCGAGACCCCATAAAAGGCAGCGTGCGGGCTGGAGCAGCGCAGGTCAAAGTCCTGTCCCAGAGCCTCATCTACCTGCTGGACCAAGTTCTGGAGTCCCTCAGCATCCCTCTTCTCCTGCTGAGCGATCTGGTGATGGATGTCCAGGCACTTCTCTTCCAACTCCCGCTCCGCACAGAGGTCAGCATGGGTTCCCACCATGCACACCACAGCATGGGGCACCTTGGAACCGAGCCAGTGCAAGAAATAGCCCACAGAGGGGTAGAAGCGCTGAGGTACGTAGGCACTCAAATTCACCACCAGCACGTACAAGGCTCCGGGAGAGAGGAAGAAAGACTGGATCACATCGTAGCTTGGGTCCCCCGCCAGCTCGTACACAATGAATGTCAGGCCCCTCTCTGCATCCGCTGTCCAGTCCATCACCTCAATGCCCTTGCTGCCTCCCAATAGTCCCAGTCCTGACGGTACCTGGGAGGCATCCGGTGTCAGCGATGGTGCAGGGCACGCCATTTCCCCTTTCATTCGGTGAGGGGGCACGTGAGAAGGGATGTCCTGCCGCTCAACAGGGAAACGTTCCAGCTGCTGCGTGGCAGGTACCCATGCTGAGGAAGCATCCTGAGGCTCCGGGAAGGGGCAGCACCCAACTGGCACTCTCCCAATGTCCTGCTGCTGCCCAGGGCACCCTCTGGGCTGGGCGCTCCCTGCCTCCAGACTTCCCACGTCCTCCCTCTGCCCATCCTCCTCCATGAGACATCGTCTCAGCAGGGTCTTTCCCGCATCCTTTAGGCCCATGAGGACCAACTTGAGGCGGGGTTTGAGGGCAGGCTGGGAGTGGGCCAGCTCCTGCTGGTAGGCTGCGATGTAGGGGATGCCTTTCATGCACACCTCGTAGGGGGGCTGGATGAGGGGGTTGTCTTTGATCTTCCACAAGGTGATGCGAGAGAGCTGCCCGAAGCCCTCGGGCAGGATGGCGATCTGGTTGCCTTGCAGGACCAGCTCCTCCAAGCTGTGGAGGAGCACGATGGAGTCAGGCAGGTAGCGGATGCGGTTGTTGTCCAGCCAGAGGGTGCGGAGCTGGCGGAGCTGACAGAGGTGAGGGGGCAGCAGGGTGAGCTGGTTGCGGCTCAGGTACAGCTCCTCCAGGCTGGGCAACGCCAAGATGGC